AACATGAGGTTCAGGTCTTTGCACTAGAGTGCAGTATCCTTGGCACTCTCTCAGTCTCTGGAACTCCAAAGCTGATATTCCAGATTGCGAACGTGATAGGGTCCATTTACAAGTGCAGAATTCACAGTAAGCACCCTCTTTATATTCCTAATCTTTTCATAACAAGGTATACATAAAATCCTCTAGATTGAAGATAGTAACCTATGCTCAAATTTTCAGTCATTCTATCAGCTACTCTGTTCTTTTGTCCATTCGTATTTGGTGACATTATTTGTCAATGTAACTGAAATGTGAGGCAATCACATATGGTAACGTTAGCAAGAATGGTATCAGCATTCTAATGTCATGAAGTCTCCGGATAATAATAAAACCACCAGCTACTTCCCAAATGAGACGTGATGGAACTGGAGGCTGCAGCCACTTCTCCATCAGTGAGGATTTGAGGAAACAAATCTAGAAGGTTTATTGATATCCAGAAGGCAGGAAAGACTATCCAGTGTTCAATCACATACCAAACAAGAAATACCAGCAAATAATCAATGTAAGTTCATTTCCTGGCCGTTCACATTCTTATTGAACCATAAAACTTGCATACAAGAACATAAATTGCTTACATTTAATACTGAGACAAGATTTAGGGGATCAAATCAACTGATGCTATACACTACAATATGGTCACAGGGAACGGAATGATTGTGGGAATGGATCATTTAACTTATAAAAAGGACTCCCCAAACTAAGTCATAATTCACAAAGCTGAAAATGAACAAAGACTGCTTGAAGTGTCGCTCATAAGTGTGCCATTGGCAGCTGAAACGATCCGAGAATAACAACCAACTTCATCCCTATAAGAATAAGCTTGTTGAGTGGTGGCACCACCAGATAGAACATCATGATCTTGAACGACCATCCAACCATTGCATTTCTGCCTATTTATCAAGGAGATTGATAAATCCCCAATGGACTTCTTCCCCCTCCATTCATGGTCTAGGTCAGTAAGCATCAAGCTTGTATCATTCTCTGATGAAGGTGAATTCTTAGTGGTCATGCTAAGTGGATATGTCTTCTTTGTAGTGGTCCGAGAAATCCTGATACCTGTATCAGACAGTACACTTACTATAGTTTCTTCTCTCACATTCTGTATTACCCTTTTTTCAGTACCATTAAGATAGAACTGTATCTTATTCTTAAATTTAACTTCCCTGGAAACTGTTGTAGTTAAGTTTCCTGAAGTCGAATTAACCCACCCTGAAACCTTGCTCTTCCTCTTCATCTCAATCTCACATGAACCATCAAGCCCTCGAAAGTTAGATGATCGCTCAATGCTAAATTTAGGAGTACCATAATCAACAACTTTAGCCTTAACTTCACATGGCAATGCGCAATTATCTACCCATAGATGCAAATTCCCATCCACTAGCCAAAATGGGATACTATCCGCCACTCCAAGACTCAAAAAGTGGGATTTACCATCAAGCAGAAGCCCCAAAAATGGTGTTAAATCAATATCATAAGAAGGAAGATCAAAGGCACCTATTGAAACCACTGGTTCCCAGAACAAAGGATTGATTCCTCCTGTGAAAACCACTGGAAATGGTACCAAAGATCCCACCAAATTCTCATCTATCTTCAACAAAACCTCCCTATAAGCTCCATGTCCTCTCTTTGTGGTCAAATTATTCATCTTTATATATGAATCAGGCGGATTAGAGTACCAAAACTCATCATTCCCATGAAACGATACATATATCTCCATCACAGCTTTATAAGTATTCTTTGGAATCACAACTTGTTGCCCATACATTCCCAATTCACTCTCAATTCGAAACCAAAGCCCATTATCTCCATTTGCCGATATGGGCAATATCAAATCCGCTGGTTTGTCATCTGAACCCAGCAAACTTCCCAATTTGCTCACTCCCATTGAAATCGGATTATCAACATAATCATCCAATTGAACCCCCGTAACACTCTTGGCATCATAGTATAAAAAAGTAACATTCACATGATACACTCCAGTAAAAATATCATTAACCAGATTTTCCAGCATAACAGAAAGAGTAATATTCTCCTTCACAAGAATCGAACTGTACTTGGTGACATCTTTCGTAACAGTCCAGTAAATTCCGTCATCATTGGGTTCCGCAGTGCTAGTACGGAGAATCTCAGCGCCGTCTAACCAAACGGCGGCAATACGGTCATACTGTTCGCCTTTGCAAGATGCTTTGAACCAGAGAACCACATGGGTCCATGAGCAATTGAAAGGAGGAGAGTAAGGGACGGATACAGGTGGAAGGCCATATGTGTTACCGAAGTTGTGGGTGAATAAGGGATGAGAACAAGATGGAGTTAGGTTAGTGAAGGGTAATGGGCGAGTGACTTCGATGTATGGCTGTGGATTACTGGTGTGGGGAAGAGTGTGTTTGAGGAAATGCGAATGGTGGTGTGGTAGTGAAGAAGAAAATGGGGCAGTAAAGTTGAAGATGAAGAAGAAGAAGAGGAGAATAGTAGTATCAATGGAGGTCCGCATTTTGGTAGCAAATGAAGGAATGGGTTGAGTAGTTTGGGTTAGCACGAGAGTAAAGGCAGAAGCTGAATTGGGGGTTTGACTTGTCATAACTTTCAACAGTCCAACTTATACGGCAAATCACATGTCCAAGTTTTTAATTTGTTTTATTTATTGCTACAACTCGTGTAAAAGTTTATTCATGTCACTATTTATTAATTGGATGAGTCTGAACTTCAAAAATTCTCTTGAAATGGCAGAAAATTTATACTTTGTTCAATACTTGAATCACCTTATATTTATTATACATATATTCATTAAAACTGTATACCTACATAGCCAAAAATCAAGATACGGGAGATGGCGAATTTGAAGGAATTTCAGAAAGCACTGCACCCTCATCAACAAGTAGTTGTGTTATATCTTCATAACCCAAAAATTTGGAAACAGAAAGCGGAGTGATACCTTTGTTGTTCTTGACATTTACATTGGCTCCTCTGTTCAGCAGCACTTCTACTGTGTGTGCACATCCGCCTTCGACTGCCATTTGCAGCGGAGTGTGACCTTGTATGTCCTGGCATTCCAAGTCGGCTCCAAATTCAGCCAATATCATTACTGCGTCTTTCTTTCCTTTAATAGCTGCCATATGAAGTGCTGCTACACCGTATTGATCGCGGAAGTTTGTGGTGGCTCCCTTTTCAAGAAGAGTTTCGAGTAGCTGAACGTCTCCATGCCTTGCTGCATGTAGAACCGCTTCTCCTCTTTCGAGTATTTTAACAACTACCCCCTGACAATAGTACACATGGAATTAAGGAAACAAAAATGCATGTATTAAACAATTGTATGAACTATGAAGATACACACACAAGGTAACAAAAATAAAACCATGCAGCATGAAACCCAACTATTCTTCAGTAACTTCATTTTCAAGAATTAAAGCTGGGGACCTTGATAATTATCATTCTCTAAGTCTAATTTCATATGAGTTAATTTAAAAAAGATAAAAAGTTTTGAAACGTGTGATCTAAAATAATATTTTAAATTTTTGATTTTTTATTTACGGCTATGATATGTGTTATAGTCATTGAAATGTCAACACACACTTCTGAGTTCTAATAACACAGTAATGTTTTTTTTTTCTGTGTCTTGTTATATACTCTGTTTCGTCCCTATCAAGTAAATTTCTGATTTTTTTTTTATCCATAATTTAAAACAAGTAACTTATTCATAATTTTTAAGAAAAGTACTGAAACTTTTTTCATAAAATAAAAATAATTATCTTTTTTTTTTCTTCAAATAATTCAATATGAAACAAACAAATTGGAGACTTACATGTCCCTTAGCTCTGGCGATATCAAGAGCAGAACGCCTAAGATGCAATTCAGTTAGAGTAGGGTCAGCACCCATTTCAACAAGCATCTTCGCCATTTCACAGTCGCCATTAGCAGCAGCTCTGAACAAAGCCGTTCGACCATCTTTGCTTCTCGCATCCACTTGCGCACCTGCACCTATCAACGCCTTACCACTACCCAATAACCCTTTACTTGCTGCTAAATGTAACGGCGTTCTTCCCTCTTTGTCTCTGCTATCCAACCACCTGCACCCCCCGTTCACTCTCAATAACCTCTCAATCTCTTCCCTCCGGTCATTCGCCACGGCGATATGTAACGCCGTCCACCCTTTGGACACCCATTTAACGTCGTTTGGTTCAGTACATGCGTCCACCTTCAGTCCACCTTCAATTAAGATATTCACCATGTCCTTGTTGTTATTAGGTAACTGCTTTGCTACTCGGAAGAGTGACTCTGCTTCTCGGGTTGAAAACTCGGTGAAAATGGATCGGTGCCGTTTGATAATGTTTCTGACGGAATCACAATCTCCGTTACTAACGGCATGGCGGAGAAGAAATGGACCTACGAAAACCACCTTGAGTTTTATGTCATGAGTTGAACGATGCCCAATTGACTTGAACCAGGAGTTAACGATTTCGGATCGAGTCGATTCAGAAGACGAGTTGAGTTTGAGTTCGAGTTCTGACGCTATTGCGGTTCTAACGAGGAAACGATCCGAAGGGGAGCGAGGGAAAGTGGGAGGGATTTGGGGTTGGGGCTTGAGAATCACTTGGAAAGAGGTTGAAGATAATGGTGATATTAGGCCACTAGGTGGATTGACAAGGAATTTGTGAGGAGAAGAAGTTTGAACTTTGAATGCTATTGGATAGGCTGCACTAAGTGATCTAAGGTTCACTGTGGCTCGGCATTTACAGCCTAGTGCAAAGTCTATTCCTATTTCTGGTTCTGATACTTCCACCAATTTCTCCATCAATGATTATTTTGAAAGGGGATTCAAATTTCAAGATTGATACAGTATTATTACATTATATACATACAAAAATGATGCATGTGATACTAAATAATGGGTACATGTGATTTCGTGGGGACCATACACAAGACGTTGAAGAAAAAACACGAAATTGGACAAAGAGGTAACACTCTTTGTTTTGACAGTACGAAATGCAAGCCCTACCGCTCTAGTATACTTCCTCCCTTTCATTTTTACTTGTTCATTTTAGCAAATGATGAGAAGCTTATTATTTTCATCCAATGCTATACTTATCATTAAATAACTACATAAAGTCATAGTAATCAAATTTAAATTTTCATAGTCAAACGAAGTTAAAGATGCATTAATCAAAAATATTAGGAGAAGATTGACTCCACATCCCTTGAAGATTCATGGAGATATAGAGATAAAATATTTTCAGTTTGACGGCGTTCTTCATGGCATCATTATTTTCGTGTTATTATCTATTTCTTGAACCAGTTGTTCTCACTTATTGAGATTGCATTTTCTAAACGCCAGTGTAGTTCAATAAAATGATACCATAACTTATCAACAAGGGGATTTTTTTTCCGGACGTCACATATTGTTTGTATGTTAGCCTACTTTTTTTACATAAATTGAACTTGTTACTCCTCCAGCACCTGTGCTCAATACTCAGACTCTTGACAGGGTAACTAACTTTTTATTGCATATTATTATCGTATCCTGTTTTAGTTGAGTTAAATGTTTTTAGTATTCGCCTTTCAAAAATATCAGTTTGATTTGTGTTGTTCTGGGGACATTTTTGTTAAGCACATGCAGTATATGTTAGTTCCGACTTGTACATTATTTGTTCATATAGATTGCTTCTTATGTGTTATTATTAACTTCTTCACCTAGATTTTGCTTAGGAGACTCTTTTTACTGTTAGCTCTCTACTTCATCTCAGTCCATCCCTTGAAGCCGTACCCTCCCAGTATGTGTGAGTCTTCTGCTGATTGACAGAAATGCTGGCTGGAAATCGAGGCCATCCCACCATAATGGATATCTCCTACCACTACCTACTAGTGGATCGATTTAGGGAAATGCTGATGTTGCAATTCCTCCCATCTCGATTACGCGAGTAACCTACGATTGATAGTTCCATTTTCCACTGATGCTGGCCGATTGGGATCCCAACAGTCAAACCCCACTGTGTTCATTCCTCACCTTCCTTCCAATGAAATCTATTCCATGGAGTCCAGAGACTGGGGAAATAAAGGAGAGATCGATCGACCAACCTGAACAGATCCTGTTAGATCGAGTTCTGATTTCATGAGTAATGCTTCCACTTACCTATAAAGTCTTAAGGTTAAACAAGAAGGATGATTGTTTGGACTCATTACTGTTGTTTTCAAGGATGCTCTAGCTGGATCCCTTTTTCTTACTACAATCCTTCAAAGACCACCTCTGTTCTGTCATTTTTCTACCATCCACCACAGGATGCTTCCAAATTTCTTTTGACTTTCTCTTTGGTTTTCCTGTGCTTATTTTCAAGTTCTATGGTAAATGAATATCGACTTGATAGGATCATTCTTCTGATTACCATTTTATTTTCTCTCTTAAGTGTGCTGTCAGTGATATGGGACTAAAATTTGTAAAATCTGAGACCAGATTAACCATAACACATGTTGTTGGTAAATCTCTTGATGATCATGTAATGGTTTAGCCAAAAGTTAGGGGATTCTGTATCACAAATGTCATACTTGATTAGCGTTTTTTACTTTGAGAGTACTTCCAATCTACTTGAACAACATGGTCCTTGATAGATATATGTGGTTGGAAATATGTATGTTCAACTGAATAAACTGCCTCTTCGGTTTGTCCTCTCTTTGCAAGGCGCTGCTAGACACTAGTATCTGGAGTCTTGAAGCTTACTAATTGATACCATTGTCATGTAAGTTCGTTCTAAAATCTCTAATTTGGTTTTGATTGCAATAGTATGGATGTACATGGTCAAGAGTTCAACAATTAATAAAAGGGATTTCCAATCCTGATAACTTTGAATTGTAACAGACTTGTTTTAGGTTTTCAAATTAAATAGTACTCTGTCCGTTTCAAATTGAGTCACCTGTTTTGACTTGCCACGTAATTTAAAAAGTAAAAAGACTTGTGAATTTTGTAGTCTAAAATTAAAGATCTGTCAAATGTAACAGAATGTCCTTTAATCTTGTGGTTTTAAACATGACATGTGATTGAAATTAAAATTGTTAAAAAAGGAACGGGTCATTCTTCTTGAAACAAATTAAAAAGGAAAGTGGATCAAACAAATTGAAACTGTGGGAGGATTAAATAATTGAGGAAAAATACATTAATTATTTAGCTTATCAATTAAAATGGCGACTTGTGTAAGTTAGACCCTGTACATGTTCCTAGGAGAGTCTTGGAACGTTGGATTCTCCAAATGCATCGACTGGAATTGAACACTTCAATAAGGAACAAAATCAAAAGAAATGTATGCATCTATGGCTATCTTTTTCTTTTCTTGCTTTCTGTTTTTTCACTCTGTTATCTTATATCATCTGTGGTGATTCTAATGTGGCGTATCTATTCAGCTGAGTGAGCAGGAAGACAAATTGATTGACAAAAAGATGGCTAAGCTCAGCTGTGAAAATGAGGAGATCAGTGGTGATGAAGATACTGAAGAGGAGGAAGATACAGGAACGGGAGAGATTGATGTGGGGAGCTCAGGAACTTGAATTAGAGAATAAAAACTGCATCTTGTTTGGAATTGGATAACACATTTTTCATAGATGCATTTTCTTAATGCTAGTGTAGTTTACTACAATGATACCATTACATATTTAAAAGGGAATTTTTTAGAGGCTACATATTATTTGTAATGTTAGCCTTTTTTATGATCTTTTTCATGTTTGGTGCAGGAAGCTATGCATAAAGCTGAAGTGGCTGGTAATAGTGATTGCCCTGTTAAATATAAACTTGTGGCTCATCCAGCATATGTTCTCAATACTTGAGACTCTTGACATGGTAACAACTATTTGTTGCATATAATTATGGTAGCCTGTTTTTACTTGAGTAAAATGTTTTTTTTGTATTTACCTTTTAAACATATCAGTTTGATTTGTGCTTGAGCTCTTTTTTCTATTTTGAGGACATTTTGGTGAAGTACATGCAGTATATGTTAGTTTTGTTAGGATCGGAAATATCTGATACCACTTGTTAGGACCGAAAATAAGCAGGTGTAAATGCGGAAGCTAGCAAAACAAACCTCAAAAGACCACGAGTAAGAAGACAACGAGAAATATACCAAAAGACACAGAGATTTAACGTGGTTCGGTCAATCAATCTACGACCACAAAGGAGATGAGCAATCCACTATAAATATGAGAGTAAAAAATACAGAGGGAAACAACCTCAACTAATTCAGTCGGAATACATGGGAGGTTCACACAATCGATAACGTATCAAACTTGTGACCCACAAATTGTCCCTCTAACCAAAACTCTGAAAGCCCTTAAGACTACATTGTAAATGTTAATTAAGTTAGAAGGAACATGACTCTATTTATAGAGTCCTAAACCTTTTCCTACAAAAAAAGGATTAGTCAATTCAAAACCTTTTCCTAAAAGGAAAACCTATTTATGGTAAGAAATCAGGGCAAATAAAATCCAACAAATCTCCCCCTTGGCCTAAATTTCTGACAAAATAAATTTGTCCACCTTCTTTACTTAATCTTCAACAACTTGCTTATCCTCTCCATAGTCTCCTTTGCAAAATTTATGTCTCAACACAAAGAACCTCTCTGAAACAATTTCTCCAACAAAATCTTTATTACTGTCAAAAAGGTTGCGGCTAGAACTATACCCGTCAAGATGAACACCTTCTTCTAACCTGGTTCAATAATCGATTATCGAACCACTAAACCTGACTCCATCATTGAATCTAGCTCTGATACCACTTTGTTGGGAAAGAAAAGGCACTAACAAAGAATGCCTGACAGGATAACAGCGGAAGAATACCCAAGTCTATACTTTCCCTTCTCGATTTGAACCAAGAAAAGACAAACAACCACAAGCAATATGATAGTAAGGCAGCAAGTAATTCAACCAAACAAATATAGCAAGACAATAATAATCAATCACACAAGACACCAAGATATACGTGGAAAACCCTTCGATGTGAAGAGTAAAAAACCACGGGACCAAAAGCTCCACTATAATCACCAAGAGTTACAATATTGTTCTCCAAAATTGTCCACAAAACAAGTGCCAAAAAACGAGTAACAACAAAATAAGATTGTACAAAATCTAGAGAATTAAAGGAGCAAAATCACCAATTTCGCAGCTACTGTTCACGACAGCAAAACTGAAGCTGCAGGCCACCAAATCCAACTCTGTCATTTCCTAATCAAATATTGAGATGAAGATAATATGCTGTCCAAAAACCAGCTCAATCGAGCAAGAAACGAAGCGGGAATCGCAATTTGAAGTTGTTTGTTAGGGCTGAATTTTGACTGCGAAAACTGCTCTCTTACTCTTTTTTTTGGCTGCTGAAAAAACTCTCTGTGTATTTGAAAATAAGACCTAAATAGGCTTATATTTGCCTCATAAGAATGGGCCTATGGGCAAAAATGGGTTGGTCCAAATTGGGCTTTTATTTATCCACATAGGAAGGGAAAAAAACCCATAACCCAACAATTCTCCCTCTC